CAGAATTTTTCATATAATTTATTACTGCTGTTTGATAACAGTTACAAGGGCATTTTTTAAGCCTTTGCAGAAATGTCGTCTTTATTTATTCCTCATGAAATAACTAACACATAGATAACAGGGTACATTTTGTTATGCCCAGTCCACTGTCAGCACAGTAATAAGTAAAGACTTCTAGAGTGTGCATTCTCTTGTGGAAAACCTGTACTTCATTCATAATCACAATGCACAGTGTTTCTGGTGTTTGCTCATGGACATGAAGGTCTGAGCCATTAAAACTTGCATAACTTCAAGCTTATTTGTGAGTTATTTTTATTGAAGTAATTGGAAAGAGTTTAAGTCATTGACAAATATATTCAAAGGAATTTATTTGGGCCTTCTAAACATATAAAACAATCTGAATAATGTATAGAGCTTTCTAGATACATTTTAACATGAGTTCTTTTTAAATAATGGTCAATTGATGGCAGTTTTCTGTAGAAGAGAATGATACTCAAGGAAATCATCTTTTGTCTATGCTAAAATGGTTCCCTTAAGTCAATTAATGTTAGCTTAACAGAACAATATTATGAGACAGGTAACTCCCTGAAAGCATCCTTAAATTGTCTTAATAATTTGACCAGTTTCATATGATTAAAAGTCTGTTCTATATGCAAAAGAATTTTTAATAACTTACTTTTGCTTTTAAGCAATATTAGTATTTTGATTGCAAGAACACATATACAAATATGTATTGATCAATTATAATTTAAGCCAAAGTAACAATATTCTTACTTTCAGATCTTTTTATTGCCTTATTTGTGGCTTTGATTTCAATACAAAAATTTTCAATAAAATTGGACCACAAAATGGCAATAATAAAGAGCTCTACTAAATAATGATTATTAAATTACATTTTTCTATATAAATCTTTACTGATTATATTTCTAGCATCCCTCACTGTCAATAATAAAACTGTAAATGTAAAAAATAACTTAAAGGAAAGGTCCAAAAATGCAAGGTAACCAACAGTGCTATAAACAATAGAAGATCAAACGATTAGTCTTTCTTTTGCAAAATGGATTTTTTAACACTATTATATTGGTAGAAACAAATTAAAAATGGCATCCTCAGAGTCATAGGAGAAGATTTACCTATTTTGCTTGATCAGTTTTTCTATTGAGTTCAACTTGAATTATTCCATATTTATAAAGATTCTAATGTTGTCTAGAAATTTATATTCTTGGAGTTTAACTATCTAGCATTTTGAAAGGAATTAAATCAGGAAGACTAACTCATAAAAAAAAGACATATAATGTTATGGTATTTTTCTTGATGTTTTTACTTAACCAATCAAAACCCTACAAAAATGTAATTTCTTCTATGGTTTCTTTAATGTACTAATAAACATTAACAGCACTGCCACAGCTATAACACTGATGAGTTTATTCCCTCTTCTGGGGAACACACTTATTTTGTGTTTTAGGTATTGCTTCTATAAGCACTTCAAAGATAAGTATCGTCTTTTGCACTTTTTCCTTTTTTTCCTTTTTTTTAGCAGCAAATGTTTTATCCTCACTAGAGAAATAATCAATGAAAAGAGAAAGAGAAAAGAAAATCCTGCATCACAATTGGCTGTCACTGATCTATAATGTCCCAATGGATTTGAAAAGAATTGGGTAGGGAAACTGAAGAGCATAGACTTGATTTCATTGTGTCCATCCAACCTTCTGAATATAAATCCTCAGGCACAAGAATGACCACTTTCTGCCAGTATTGTTTTCTCTATCTTCATATAAAAATCTGCATAGACTCATCCATTTAAAAACAGCTTTTCTAGCACTCATGTCCTTGACCTTCCTCCTATCTCAAAACCAGTAGCAGCAAGAAGGAAATTAATAAAATCTCTAATAAACAATAACACAAAAGGACTTTTCGACACATAGAACAGAGAAATGCAAGGCTTCTCAATAGTCCCAGAGGGCCTCAATTTTAATTACCCCAGAGGACCTTAATTTTAATTACTTTTACTTATGTTTGATTAATACAAAAGATGTTCATATATAAGCATGGGCAACAATAGGAAAAAAATAGGTATAATGCCCATGTATAAATACAGGCTAATGTGAAAAAAGGACTTTCTAGTAAAAGTGGTTGACATTCTGGGAAAGAGAAGTGTTACAATTAATAAAAAACAATTGGAAAGATAGAGAAAATGCTAACATTTTAGAACAGTCTTAGTATATTAAACTATAAAATTTACAAGCAGCATTTTGAGGAATTTAATTATTAATTTCACTGAAATTAATATTTGTTGGAGATCTGATTCAACTATGGTTTTCATACTCTGGAATCAAAGGGATTTTATGAGAGAAAAGGTACCATGCTAGATTAAAAATGATGAGGTAATCTGTTTTTTCAAAAACAGCTGCTTTTCCTGTAAATGTAATATTGTTTAGCACAACTCAGCCTATCAGAAGCAATTTTAACTCTTATGCATAAAAAAAGGATCTTAATGGATCACAGAAACCAAGGTTAAGACTATACACTATTTTGATTTAAGTAAAAGGTAAAACTATTATTGTTTTTAATAAGAGCAGAGTAAACAGAATGGTAAGAAAAACTTAAAATCTATTAAAAAAAAATCTTCCTAAATTCTGTTTAGAAGAAACTCTAGAACATATCGATGTAGGTGTATAAAAAGAATCTGAAAGCCAAATTTAGCTCTTACTGTGGCTAGATTTTACATAATCTAAATAAAACAAATCAATAATTTTATTTTTTCAGCATAAGAGAAGTGGAGTAGTCTGAAAAATTTCACATGAGAATAAAGCTTCATTTTGGATAAATTAAGGCAAATTGAAAATCTGTAAAAAAGAAATTGAGAATAAAAAATAAAATTGAGGATAAATTGGGGATAAAAATGATCAAGGCACAGAAAACACAAAAATCTACCAGGGACAGCAATTAATAGAAGTAATCCTATTTCGAAGGTTAGTATATGGGTAGAGTAATCATAATTTCTACTGTGTATGAATATAATATAAGCAAAAGGAAGATCTGGGAATAGAATTAAAATTCAATTTCTAAGTTCATTAGGTATCTGTGTAGGAGAACTGAATGCTAATGTCTATATTTAATTGCAATTATAATTCTAGAACCTTCTTGTTTTGGTCTCAGAAGCTTATGTTTATGTGAAGCAAATTTTGTAACGAGGTAACATCTTTTATTCAACAAGTTGTTATAGTTGGGGAAAAATGGACATGCTTGGCTGTGGAAGGCTAATTGCAATTCAAAAGCTAACTGACTGTTGAAAACCAATATTGAAGATTTTGCAGCTGATTTCTAATTAGCACAGAGGAGCATTTAAAAGATTTAAACCAGTACAATTAGGCTTCAGAACTGAAGTTCAGTTTGTGTTAGGAAACAAAGATTTCCATGCATGCTGATGCTATTAGAAGGAAAGACACATCTTCAAATCAAATGTCCCAAGTAGGAGGCTGCATGTATTTTTTCATCTCAAATGGTTTCAAAGGTTTCCACTAGGAAAATTCTTTTAACTACAACCAGAATTCCTTCTCAAAATTGCTAGTGACAGAAGACTGTGAGATTCCTGCTTTTGGACCATGAAATGTTTCCTAAAGGATCAGCAAGGCTTTAAAGAAGAGGTATACTTGGTAGTCTTGTTCCCAGAGCCTGTGCATCCCTGAATATTCCATTTTTAAGTGCCTCTAGGATTCTAACTGATTCAGCTGAGCAGATACAAAGTATCAACGTCAAATCTACTTCCAAGGCAAAATCTCAAAGTATCATTACTGCCAGAAATTATCAACCCTAAAGGGAAGTACAGATGACACTAGTATATTTGCCATATGAACTTTATTAGATCAAATGGTCTAATTTTCCTTAATTCACCTGCATTTATTCTGACTGAATTCCCTACTTGCAGTTTGTTCTCAGTCATAAGTGGAAAGTCGTGAATTGGCGGCTCTAATCAGGCAAAGCTGTGTATGTATGAGCATCAGAAAGAAATGAAATGTAGTATTTTTATCCCTCTTGAAATGTTAGAAGAGGCTCTATAGACTGTTCTGCTCATGGTTCATCTGTTACATGATGGAGTGAAGGAACAGTATAAATTTGCCAGCTTTTCATGAGCTTCCAACATGCAGAAGATACACTAAACAATGACATCAGAGCCCACATGCTTAAATTGAATATAAGATTAAGAAAGAACTGGAAAACTGTTCTTTTGACTCCCATATTTGCAACAAAGCCCCAGTGCAGCCAAAGAATTGCTTTGTGTATAATTAGATTAAACACACAGGCTTTCCCTTCAATAAACTCACTTATAGGATGTGTTAACACTGGCAAGGAGGTATAATCTGAAATTAGAAAAAAACCTCATCTTGGAGATTTACTTCTAGTTTTGTTTTTCTTCCTACTATAGAGCAACAGCTCAGTCATTATGAATGAAACTTGAATATCCAGACTTTTCTACCTCTTTCCTTCGGTAAGAACCAAACTGCCTGTTTAAGTGAGAAGCCATAACCCATTTGAAGACAAGACCTGAAGAGAAAAATCTGACATTACTATCTACTTTTCTCTTTCAAAAAACACAGTTTAAAAGTGATTAAATGTACTTTAATGTTTCTGCAGTTAAAACTCTTGTGGCCATGAAAACTCTTCTCGTATTCCCTCCTGCTCCTTGTGTACAGCTGTCCCTTGATTATCCAGTTCTCCAGGACACATTCATGAGAACAGTACCCGAAATTACTACTCCACGTTCAGACTTTTACGCCTACAACAGCCTGATTTTTTTTCTTGTTCACTGTCTGTGAACAGTTTTTATGATTTTACAGGGCATAAATACTTAATCTTTCCCACTTCCAAACTTCTTCAGGTCTGTGATCAACAGAGTATTCACTGTGTAAATCCTTGTTCTCATGTAGTTATTATTTTCGTTGTCTGATAGAAAAATAATAATTTCACAGTCAGTAAAATCCTAAGCAGTGCTGACAAAGTCATGGTTGTTTGATGACTACAACACAGGCACCAGCTCTTCCAATATTTAGGGAAGCCATCTGCAGAAAAAAAGAAACAAATTAACTGAACAGGAACAAGCCATGCAAGAGATTGCCAAAGTGCTGTGTCAACATTATTCCAAAATGGTCAAAACTAATGGGAGTATAAGACATTAAAAATAAATACAACTCAGAATATCTTAGTATCGTAGTTTTGAAGTTACTTACTCACATCTGACATCTTTCACTTGATAGTGAAAGAACAGAAAAAAAGAAGTGATTTTCAAGCTGTCATCAATTTTGTGAACTGTTGATATGCAAGGAGCTTCTATAATCTGTAGACTGTAGCTGATGCTTCCACTTCAGTCCCTGAGACAAGGTCAAGGCTACCAAATACCAAAATTGTATGGTTCCAGTATTCCTAAACAGGTTCAAGTGTCCTTTGGAATAAGTTTGGCAGCTTTAGACAGTATTCAAGACAACACAAGGTTTAATAACTTTAGGAGACTGGATCTTGCTGAAACTAAAACAGTAGAGTCAGCTGGTATGTAATAATAATAGTAATGGTAATACACTGTAATTAATGGTACTGTACATATCAAAGCAGAGGTGTTACATGTTTCCGATCTGTCCAAATATGGTTATTTATGGTTTTTTATGTGGACTGGTGGATTTGAGAAAAGAATCTTTCCAATTTGATTTTTTTATTTCCTACAGAATGTCATAAAAATGCTCTCTTGTCATTTAATGAATAGTAGATTAAAAAGATGGGCTTCTGCATTAACTTTATACCACGTATGTCTACCTTTAAGCTTGACAACAGAAGCCCCTCTTTACAATCATAAAAAGAAATAGGCATTTTTGAGTATAAGACATCTGGCCTATTTTAAATGCTTATTTTAGGATAAGATCATGCTTTCGAAGTACGTACTTTTCTTCACTAACTTTAAAGGGAACTTAGGGTGACTAATTCAGATGTAAATATCTACACTGGTGGAACAAATTACTTTTTCAGAAAGTCTTAAAACAGAATTAATGACAGAAAGTGTTGAAATAATCTTTTGTTTCTTTTTAAGTCTTTGCTGTAAATCCAAATCTTCCCAAGCACTACTGTGACATAATAAAATACATTCCTTCTACAACCAAATCACTAGTCCTCAGCTTTTTGAATTATACCACTATTTCTATTATACCTATTAATTCTGATATGGTTCAACATTAGAAACATAGATACAGTTCAACATTTCGAAATATCCATCAAACATAAGAAAATTGAATTGAAGAATGAAATAAAAACTTGGCTCTCTACACAAAGTAAACAAATTTCATATGAAGGCTCTTCAGGACATGCTGGTTACAAATTAAAATTACAGATCCATTGTGGTACTTTTAATGACATTTCTTCTGCATGAAGAAAGATGAAAAAAATTAATTTGCTATAGAAATTGATCAGAACAAGAATTTTGCCTGAAAGGTAGCAAGATAATACTTCTAATGACTGTTTATTCTGTCTTTTTCTGGTTAGGATCTAATTCTCTCTTCTGTCCTCAGAGGAAACTCCTTACATAATACTTGAAAAAATACTATGACTAGATTTACAGCTATGGCAACCTCAGATACTATACTTTTTTCAGAAAAGTAATGGTTTTATGTACAACTATTGAAATATGTTACAGATGAAAAAAAATAAAGACTTTATTTATGATTACCTGCGTCCATTCATTAGTTTGAGGGTCATATGCTTCCATAGTGTTCAAATATGTTTGACCATCATAGCCCCCTACTGCATATAATTTGTCACCAAGGAGACAGACACCAACAGCATCTCGAGGCATACTCAGTGGAGCCACCATTGTCCATGTATCAGTCTTTGGATCATACCTGAGGAAAGAGAAAGGAAACTGAAAGTCCCGGGTGAAGATAAGTGAGAATTCATGCTTATCTTCATTTGAATATAGCCCTTTTTTTCTGGGAGAAAAAAAATAAAATCCTTTAGCATCTTTTGCTCAGCCAACCTTTTGGAATAAACTAAGGTATTTGTGAGGTAAGGTGTCATAAAAAGAGATTTGAGAAGGATATAAGGGCAATAGCTGGATGTATATACATTTTTATGTATATATTTTAAATAGGATATTTCTTGTAGCATATTAAAATATTCTTTCTAAAATTATATTACCCCATATTTTAATTTCTAAAATTATACTAGGCAATGTTCACAGCCAGAAAACCTCCCTTTGAATTCAGGGGATATGCTTAACTGCATTAGAGTTAGATTCTGCTCCTGATATTTGCTCAAGTGAAGAGAGTAGTACAATTTTTAAGACATAATCACCATAGAATTTTTAAAACTGAGGGCAAAATTCCTTTTGTATAATGAAAGTCATTTAAAAATTAAACACTTAGCCTAGGCCATTAATTTAGATATTGAATAACAATGTAAAAATTAGTTAATTTCAGAAGCCATTCCATTGTGTCTATTTTAGACATCTGTAAAACAGAAATGAATCACCTTTTGACAGTGCCTCTTAGTTTATTACTAAGGATATCTGGAATACTAGGTTAAACTAGATAGATACCTCATTTTTAGATGACAAATATTACTAAAATAGAATACTCTATCACAGTAAGATACAAAGAATTTCATCTGTCCTTAAGCATCTCTACTATGTATTAGAATCACTTATAATAACTCGAGAAAATAAACAGTTTAAGGATACAAATCCTTTGACTGACCTTAGTAATTTGCTTAAGTGTAAGGCAGATCACACTTCGGGCATGATAATTTCTCTAAAATAATTATAAAGGATCTCTACAATGGCTAAAAATCTTATTTATTTACAAGTCCTCTAACTACTATATTGTTATATAAAATTCATGGCATTCAAAATGGCATCAAACCACTTTCTCCTACACCTTTAAGAAACAGTATTAAGTTTATTTTTTTGAAGGGGAGTCAAATTCTTTCAACACATTTTCCTCTAGTCTAAACTTTATTAACTAGAAGTTGATAATCCTACAGGAAGTTGTATATACATATGCTTCATATGCTTCATTCATATTCTCAATAAACAACTAGTAGGAATACCGTTTGAAGTCCCACATTATATTTGAATAATGGAAAATTTTAATTTTTTTTAAATATAAATAATGCAACAATGTTACAGTACTTTCCTTGCAAGTGTCCTTTGGTTCAGAAATATGACCTTCAAATTGGACAATAACAGAATTATCTTTAACCTTGATTAAATTGTTCTTGACAGCTAAATACATTTTTGGAAAAAAGTTCTATTCATCTCTTGGCTGCTAATCCTTCTGGTTTTATGGGGAGTTCTCTAGAAAATAATATGTGAAAATTTTGTGTTCAACTTTTTATGTTTAAAATACCATTAAATTGATTGTGTTGTTCATTTTACTTTTTTAAAAAAATTTCTTTATTTTATTTATTCACATTCTTTCATTTTGCTATCTTTCCTTAAAAGTTTTGAGTTAAATATCTAGATAAGAGATAATTTTTTTTTAAAACTTGAGAGTAAAATACTTTAAAACAATGCTTGAATATGTGGAAGGGAAATGCTCATGTAACAAGCCCCCCCCAAAAATTAATTTTGAATGGATTTTTTCAAAGACTGTATGACTTTTTCAACAGCATCATATGCCTCTAGCTGAAAGTTTCCCAGCCACTGAAATGCACCAGCGTGCATTGTATTTTCACCTGCCTAAAGGCAATAAATTTTAATAGACTCTTTGATACACTACTCTTGAATTACAAGGGCCAAGGTGAGGAGGTGCAAAAGCAGGGGAAACTAAATACATTTGACATCTTTGGACTTTATTCCTTTTGTAATAAACAGATATGCAAGGCTAAACAGAATTCTTATAACTCAATTCTGTCAACAAAATAGAACTGCACAAGAACTTGTTTTTTGTAATTGCCAGGAAAATATCTGAGATTTCTTATATCCCTTCTTCTGTTAAAAACAACTGTACATTTCATCTTTATAATAACTAGGTATGCCCTATGGTCAGAAGGGTTATGATAAAAGTTCCTGAATGTAGAAAGAAATCAATTTGAAATCAAGGTGAGATGAAGGGGAAAAAGTATAGATCACTTGCTTATGGTTTTAATAGCTCTCAAGTTTTGAGTAAGATTTGGAAAAGAAAGCTACTTTATAAAATCTGCCAAAATATCTCCAAAATCTTATAATTCTTAAAAAAGGATCTAGTTATTTTACATTTAAAAAGGAATACAACGTTGTACTTTCCCAGCTTGTGAAGAGCAGACAAACATAACTATTATTTTATTTTAGAATGCTTGAATCCATAGGAAATCCTTCACAATTGCATCAACCTTAGAAGAGTTCACACTGGGAGTCCTAATTACTGTTGAGCAGGATTTTAGCAGTAGCACTTAGAAAACACATATCTGCTCTCACTAGATTTACATAATCTTAAAAATAAATTTTAAAACATTATGTCTGGTTTGACAGTCTTCCAGGAGCAAACTGGCATTTGAATAAAGGACATCCTATCAGGCTGTAGCAGAATGACAAAATGACTGAAGCAGAGAGTCATTCCTGAAGAAGGAAAGAGACTTAGCTAAAAAAGATGCCCTAGATATTTACAGAAAGTAAAACTTTCAGAGAGATGTAAAATAGCTTACTATAATAGACCTCATTATCACTTATTAGTCTTCGGTTTCCTAAGTTATTGAGATGTTTTTATTTTTTGAAGATGATGTATTATTTTTGAATGTAAAAATAGACACATTAAATCACACCCTAGCCACTTTATATAAAGTTATCAATCACTGGGACGACCATGAGAGATTTTTCATGTTTTAGTGGAGTCCACTGCTTAATTCACATCCACTCTATGCAAGCTAATAGCATTACATGTTCTGATTTGTTAGTCCCAACTTTTAGCCTGGAAGCTAACTGCCCATGAAGTACAATATCCAAATTTTTTGCTATCAGTGCAAAAATACCTAGACAAGGAACTCTGTATAATGTCATTCATATACCAGTACATAAAATAGCTTAAGGATATGTGGTTTAGTTTGCTGTTACAGTCCCCCCTGAGAAAGACAAATGTGATGGGATGTGGTTTGTCTTCAACACCAGAAGGGTTTTCTTCTCAGAGACGGAAAAAATTAAAGAAAAGCTCCCTTACAAGTACCAATAAGCAGAAGTAGTTGGAGAGATTTCATACTTATTAATGTTGTCACTAGTAGTCTTAATATAAAGTTATTTCATTGAAAATTCTGGTTATTGTTCCTTATAAACAGAACCCCACAAAGATAGGCCCTGTAAGTACAGGCATCATGGGATTTCTCTGATGAACTTTCCATCTGTTGGAAATGAGAAGTAAAGTATTTGCCAGTCTGTGATCTTTGCTTACATACAGTAGAGATGGGAATGGGTCTAAGACTGAGCAAAATCATATGGATAACATAAGGAGTAAGTTTTAACTTATAATTTTTGGATTACATATTGGGTAACTGGTAAATGCCAAGCCAGATACAGCAGAAGCAATACCTGACATTTAATTAAAGTTTAACCCCTTCAAAATATAAATAAATAGATAAATCTCTCCCAGTGCCTATCTTTATTTGCATGTCAAGATAAACCAACTACTCAAACGTATCCAATTTAACCTTTGCAACATGTACATATTTGGAGAGTGTATTTTCCTTATTCTATTTTAAAGCATACAGAAGCAGAAAAAAGTCAGACCTTCATGAAACATTTGAAGAGTACCTTCAAATTGAATGCTATAACCACTCCAACTGTGCCCTACTGCCCTACTAGATATTCTTGAATTTGCAAAATATCCACCTGCAAAAATTAGGGTATGGTAAATACAGTGTATAAGGCTTATATCAACACAACAGGAATTGACAGTGCTGCTAAAGGAAGCCATGTCATGTACTGTAAATATCCATCTCTTAAGCAGTTCTATATTTCTTTGCTTAGCTATGTTTTTAGAGTTACAAAATACTTCTAAACACAATTTGGTGTTATAAAATTATTTCAAAGCTGAATTTTTATCTCTGCAAAGTTCAATTTATGACTCTGCAATGTGTAATATCGTGCCTTAAAAACAAAGATTTCTTAAATGAGATGTGAAAATAATGGATTTTTGTGTCCATGATAACATACAATAGTACTGTGATTAAAAGGGAAAGAAAATAACCTTCAAAGAAATTGTCTTCTACAAACCTCTATGGACTTTTTCAAGTAAATAATAATTTAGCATTTCTTGGGGTAAAACCATCTGTTTAATTTTACCGTCACCTAGGTAAGAAAATGATGCTACTGGACATTATTTTGTATTCAAAAAATGCATGTATAATTGGATACCTTTCTACATAGTCCAGCAGTCGGGAACAATGGTTAGAAGCAGGAGCATCATGCCCTCCAACTGCATAAAGAAAGCCATCACACGTAGCCACTCCTACACCTCCTCTTCTCTTACACATAGGAGCACACATATTCCATTTATTTGTGTGAGGATCATAATATTCCATTGAACTCAAACATGAACTTCCATCCCGACCTCCAACTGAATATAACCTAAGAAAATACACACAAATAAAAATGTTAATAAAACAAGACGTCAGAACTGTAGAAATAAAACCAAGGAGCATCTGGGGGTTTTTATCTGATATCAGTGAACAGGAAAAAGAAAAAAAAGATAATCTCTCAAAATCATAGGAATTTCATATGGTCAGCAAACATAGATGATTTTAATATTATTACTAAATTCACATACTATTTAGTGCTTTGCCCACCTGAATAGAAAGGAAGATATTTTCTTTTTGGTAATGGATATTTTCATTCTTTGATTACAGCATATACTGCCATAAATGACATGCAGATTTGTCTATATAGACTTATAAATCATGTAAACAGGGTTGCTGCCTAACTGCTCATCACCTGTGAGGTGGAAGTGAAAGCGCTAACTTATAACTGGTAATCCAGACAAACAAGAAATATGCAATCCATTTATTATATTTTTTCTGTGTTTTTATCATGCATCAAAGTAGTGGGAATTAGTCTGACAACTGCTGTCATTTTAATATCCTATCTTGTGTAATTCTTTAATACTGCATAGATTCATAGGCTTCTAATACTGCCTTCCTGGGGGGAAAAAAAAAAAAAAAAGAAAGTAGTACTGCACAAGCTTTGTATGCTGAAGTACAAACCATATGGAAAACCATAGTCAGTCTTTGATCTAGTATTCAGCCTATTCCAGATACAAAACTACCAATGGGATGCTCACATCCAGAATGAATTTTACACTTAGAATATAGTAGAGATCAAAATTGCAGTGCATTGCAGAAATGAATACTGCATTATGTTTTAAACATGGGTTTTTAAAAAGTACTCACCTCAGTTTCAAGGATCTTGGTTATACTGAAGAAAAGTCTTGCTCACACTAACATTAACATGTCTACTCAGCAAGTAAGAAAATGATACCCCCAGGCACTGTATCTTGATTTTCTTCATCAGACTATATTATGAGGATTGAGTTCTATAGGGAAGTCATGAAAAACTTCTGAAAATATTTTATATTTGAAATAGCAAAAATGTGGTTCAACATAAAATATATTGCGTTTGTAACTATCTGCAGACAAGAAACTTGTTTCCTTCCTCCCTTTATAATGGTTCCCAGGAGGAAACAGTTCTGATTTTTCTTTCCCACTATTACCATGCTGCATTCTTTTCTTATATGAGTCCTTTTGCAGTCTGTTGCCCTTTTTACAGTGCCTGCAGATTAACTAATAGAAACACAGCCTATTTTAAAGTCCAACCACTGAGCAACTTAGGATGCAAAAGCTGTCTGTGTGAAGCAATTATTCATTTGGAAGCTTTTACTGTCCTAAGTGCTCCATGAATTCAGAGCTACTTAAATGAGCATTTACCATTACGTTTTGTTGGCATGGATGCTGATGAATAAGGAAGCACCGTACTACCACTAAATACGTCACTGAAGCCATAGAACATTTCGGTACTGCCTGACAGACATACTTGTGCTCTGACTGAAGTAGCCAGGAGAATCCATACTCCTCTATGAGAGATGTTAAAGCAAATATACTTTTTTGCAACTATTTCTGTGAATCCAGCCCTAAGACATTTACCTTTCAATATGATTATCAGATATATACAGGTGGGAACCAATTTAAGATTAAGACACCTACATGTAAGTGTCTACAGTGTCTAAATTGTTGTTATGCACATGGTAGTCAGACAAGTCTAAAGAACAATTTATTTCATCAGCCACAACCATACTTTTTTCTTCAGCAGAGAATAAGAACTGCGGAAGAGCACTAAAAAAATTTAAACGTGTGATCCAAATACATTAACATTAATATAAATATAAATATAAGCATTTACATATAGGTGTCTGCATGGATGATATCTTTATTTTCAAAGATGGGACTTGGTTCATCACTTGACAGTGATCAAACATTATCTGTGACATTTAGGGTACAGTGACATTCCCTGCAGGCTGGCAGATAGGACAAAGACTACACAGGAGAAATATGCATGATTGCTGGAGGTCAAGTAAGCTATCCTGAGGCAATTCAAATGGCAGTAGACACATGTTGATAAGTGAATTGATCCCTAAAAACGAAGGCCATGGTTAACAAGCCTGAGATTTCCAAATAGATTTCTAAGTAAATATTTGGACACCTAAACACCTCACAGAATTTTAAAAAATGCAAAGTACCAACACTTCTGCAGAGTTCAGTGTGAATAATTATGTGTTCCCCCAATTTATATACCAGCCACTTTGTTTATTTCTTTTGGCATGAAAAGTTCTCATCTATTCCGTTGTCTTTCAACTGAAATAAATCTATAAGCTGGTATTTCCATAGTGAAAGCGAAGCATACTTTTTCATTCCTCTATATCAATTAAGACAGGTAGTAAAATATAGCCAAAGGCATTCCTGAGTTGCTGGTAAAGAGTTAGCAAATGCTGTTCATAAGTAACTGATAAAAGTTTCATCCAGAGATTGGAATGACCTAGTTTTTGTTAAAACGCTCTGTGCTATGCAGAACAAAACAAAAATAATTTCCAAAATCAGATTTTGGAACTATCATTTTACATTTTGATTGTGTTTATATCTAAGCAAGGAATAGTTCATAAGACTAACAATAAAATTTTATTTCACAAAGGTCTAGTTCAGACAAATAAAAGTTGGAAACTGAGTAATTGTTTTAAAGTTCTGGTTGTTGCTGAACACCTGTCAGGAATTGCTCCCACTCTTCAGCCAAATTTCATAATCCACAGTCACAAAGGCCCTAAATGACTGCAGAACAACTCTGCAACCAGTGCTGAACGTTCAGAATACTGTACAGCTAACTGAAATTTTTGAAATACTTATATTCAAAGATATTTAGTAGTCCTACTTCCTTCTTAGTGCTCAGGGTCCTATTTTATTAGATGACTTAGAATGAATCCATTTCTGCAGCTTTGTCTTTCTTGGTAGCAGTTTATAGTAAAATTTTCTATAAGGAAAAGTATAATGTATGTCTCTAAGAAGGCCTGAAAACCTGGCATTACTGAGATCAGGTATCAGTCCTGCAATTGCAAGGGCTGCTCTTTTGCCTCTTAACTCTATTCCATTGTATTACTTCAGTTACCAGGTACCACCTCTGCTCTGGATGATTTGTTGAAAGTACTTGCAAGTAGACTTTCATTTTGATATGCAAGTACTTTCAGAATTCAGAGATGAAAGATAATCCAGTGAGTCTGAATTTAGCAATTTCACATTGTTAATTTACAATATTATTTTAGTAATTTTACCTTACGTCACATACTACTTCAACTAGCATCAAACACATGGCTCATTTTTTTCTATTTCTCGCAGATTACTGGTGTCTGTAGACTTCTTGTAGATCTCATATCTCTTAGTAGCTTTTGAGTACCTACAGTTTTGTAAGATTTTTATTTTCAACATTGAGCGATTAAAAAGAAAGCTTAAGAAATAATCATAATCACGATCACATAATAGTCACATCTTCAGTTTTGACTTGGGAATATTCTATTAACAGAATTGCACCTCATTGTATAACCCATCAAAGCTGTTGGGATTTCTATTATAATTATCACTGTTTAGAGGGGAAGATCGACAAGGAAAAGAAAGCATCCAGTACTGAGCACTTTTATCTCCACTGATTACAGTGAAAATTTTGCCTGTGGAGATGTTATAGATTTGTATTCCCCAATGGTTCAGCTTATTCAGACACTGTGCGCAGGTACAAATTTAGACCAAACTCAGTCTCCTCTGAGCTGGAAATCTGTCTTTTCAGGGTTTGGCCACTTCGTTTTGTATTAAGATGGATAGAGATTCCTAAACATTTTTGTATATATGTATGTACAAAATGGCTAGAAAATGCAGTAGAGGTTTCAAAGTAGGAGACATTAGGAGAAATCATGACTGGCTGGATCAAAAGCTTTTATCTCAGTGCTGTCATTACAAACCTTTGATAAGTAATCAAAAAAGCCATTTTTAAATTCAGTTTGACAAGCCAACCTCAAAAGACCAGACTGCCTTTGATGTGAGGTAGTATGGCTTGTGAAAACAGTTGAATCATGCCTTTCCTGCATTTCTTAATGAGGTTTTGCCTTTCAAAATTCTTTCACTGTGAATATCAAAAACCATATTCAGTCTTTTGCTTAGGCCCCTTTGTACCCTTTTCTGCCCTTTCAGCGTGCCTGAAAGAGCAAGAGAGAATGACTCTGGCACAAAGGATATCTGTCTGGTAGAACTGAGGGGAATGTAATAATTTTCATCAGTGCCAGACTTCTGTATTGCTCAATCAGTCCATACCTGATCTAGGAATCAGACTGTAGGAGAGGAAAGATATCTATCCATGCTGCCTTGGTAATGCCAATGAATAGCAGTTCACTGGCAAAAGTTGAAAACCTGATAATTTTCTGAATGGAAAGCATTAATGAAGTCTTATTTCTGTGATAAAATTTGGAATGGTATTTCTTGTATTTGGTGCAGTAATGCAGTAGTGGAGTAAATTAAAAATTTATACAGTTTGACAAAAAAAAAAGTGAAGAAAAAAAAAGTCATACAGTAAGTGCCTGCAGTTAAAGAAATAGTAACTACTGATAGAAAATATTGAAAGAAAAACACCCTGCATGGATAATATAATTACTGCAAAGTTCTACTTCCTACACTAGAAAGTATAGTTTCCCAATAGAAAGAACCTATTTCAAGTAAATTTAATTCTAATCAAAGTTATATGGGCTACATTTTCTCTGCAAGACCAGTATGCAGATTCCACCAGTTAAAAATATTCTTGATTGTATCAGGCTATAGGATAGTTAAGGCAAAATAGTCTTTGTAAATTAATCATTTACTACAGCATGAGCTTAAGGCCTTTTATTTCCTCTCTTATTTATTAAAAAAGATACAGTGAATCTGTCATTAAATAAGAAATTGTTATTGAATTAGCAGATTACTTTGTCCTAGACTGAGCTAATGTGTTTATAATATTCATCTTCTTTGTGAATTTAATAATTTTAGACCATACAGCTCTTCCATTTTGTT